TATTTTATTTATTTATCTATTTATCTATTTATCTATTTATCTATTTATCTATTTATCTATTTATATATTTATTTGTCTATTTGTTAGTTAGTTAGTTTATTATTTATTTATTTATTTAAATTATTTTATTGTTTTATTATTTTATTTTATTTATCTATTTATTATTTGCCGTGCTCTGCCCAACACTTTTGCTTCGCCAAGGGAGGCCTGTCAGGGTCAGTGGCCTTGCTTAATCATCCAATACTGCTTTATTATTTATTTGAGATTTATTTTTGTTACAGAAGTAAAATGATTGATGCCAAACCTTTTTTAAAGGTAAAAAAAGGAAGAGAGAATAGGGAAAGGGTCATTTATAAAACACCTAAAGCCAGAAAAGCTGCACTCGTTTTCATGGCCACCTGCATCATGTGACCCAGATAGATGTTTCCATTCCCTCCTTTTCTCAGTGTGTGACCCCTGTTGTATTTCCCCCCCCCCCCCCCCCCCCGTCTCAGAGGCACTTCATGCAGTGCGTCCTGCTGGAAGCGGGTGGATGTGCCTCACCGGCTCTGGGCTCCACCGGACCGGACTGCGTTTATGTGGATCAGGTAATTAATTTATTAATAGTAGAAAAAACAAACAAACACTTAAGTCTCTCATTTCTGGCCTGTTAGTCTTTCATTGGCCTCCTGTGCTTCTAAAAGTGATTTAGCAGCCTTAAAAAAGAAGCCTTGAAGGCCTTTGGGGCAGAATAAAGTTTTCTGAGCATAAATGGAAGTCAATAATGAATAATTAAATTGACTATTTAATGAACAAATGGTAAATAATCACCATTTTGTTAAGTTCATTGTTGTATTTATCGGGTCCAACAGAATTTATGTGAACTGACAAACAAACAAAATCCAATTAATCAGGGAGAACAGAGCCTCTGATTTAAGCTGATTTAACCCTAACCCTAACCCTAAACCTGACCCTAACCCTGACCCTAAAACTAACCCTAACCCTAACCCTAACCTTAACCCTAACCTAACCCTAACCCTGACCCTGACCCTAACCCTAACCCTGACTCTAAGCCTAACCCTAACCCTCCACCCTTCATAATTGTGAGAAATAAATATTTTTTGGTTAAACTTATTTGGACTTATTGTACAAACCTATTTAACATCCACTATTTTAACATAATATTATGTATAGAGTTTAATTCAGAGTTTGCAAGATTAATTTCACTATTTTTAAATTTACGTCTATATTGCCATGTAGCAATTAGGATTTTCTTGCCTGGGATCTTCCTATTGGTGACCTAATCAAAACGGCCGACTTGCATGTGGGTGGAGTTGGACCTCCATCCTTGTCTCCTGCGTTACCCCTAACCCCGCCCCGTCTGGGTTAAGCCCCTAAACACAACAACAATTCGCTGCTGTAAGAGGCCAAAAATAGACACAGACACAGTCAGTTCAGTGATAAAACTTGCAGAACTTCGTTTCTTACAAGAAGAAGAGAAGCAGCGTAGCCGATAAAAATCCGACACGCCAACAGCAGTTTATAGGTTTATAGGTATGGGACAAATTTGCATTTAGAGGGAAGCACATGTTGGAATTAGCACTGTTTCCTCTCTGGCAATGCCAGAATCTCACCTTCTTTTAACCTAAGACTGTCACAATAATGTATCAAATGTCAGACTGCTTTTTTCTTTCAGTTATAACCTGACTATACAAGACATAATAGATTTTCCTAACAATCAACACATACCGAACCGAACCGAAAACCGTGAAAACCCCGAAACCGCGAATCGAACCGAACCGTGGATTTTGTGAACCGTCCCACCCCTAGGGATGCATGCTAACTTATGTACCATCATTCTAACCCCTCCCTCGTCTGGGTCCAGGTCAAAGCCACGCTTCTGCAGTTGGAGGCCCTGGAGGGGGGGATCCGGGCCCGTTTGGCCGCCCCCCCCACGCCCTGCCTGTCCTGCGCCGACTGGTTCCTGCCGGCCGCCCGCGAGCGCCCCACCTCCCCCATCCTCAGCAGGCTGGCCGGGGTCATCAGAGGCTCCTCCCCCTCTGGAGGAGGCCCCGGACCACTGCCCCCCCCCCCCAGACCCGGGCGGGAGGCCGGGGGGCCGCCGGGACTCCGTGGGCTCCGACGGCCCCTTCAGGGTTTGTTTGAATTGAATTGAATTGAATTGAATTGAATTGAATTGAATATACAGGACTGTCTCAGAAAATTAGAATATTGTGATAAAGTTCTTTATTTTCTGTAATGCAATTGAAAATCATGAAATGTCAAACATTCTGGATTCATTACAAATCAACTGAAATATCGCAAGCCTTTTATTGTTTTTATATCGCTGATTATGGCTTACAGCTTAAGAAACAACAAATATTCTATCTCAAAATATTAGAATATCGGATTTTTGAGTTTTCTTCAGCTGTATGCCATAATCAGCTATATTTAAACAATAAAAGGCTTGCGGTATTTCAGTTGATTTGTAATGAATCCAGAATGTATGACATTTCATGATTTGTAATTGCATTACAGAAAATAAAGAACTTTATCAGCATTAATTTTAAGAACCATTTGACCTAATTTAATACTCACCTGGTTCTTAAATGAACCTAAAGAAGGAATAAACCTACTGAAAAGTTACTTAGAAGAAGAAGGAGCTAAAATTGTTCTGATCTTTTGTTCCAGATGTCCAGGATGAAACACCCCAACCCTTTTTACCTGGGCACCCTGAGGAAGAGCCTGACGGAGAGGGAGGCAGAGGAGGTGTACAGCAACATAAAGTGAGACGCACAAATCGCTTTATTGGCCGAATGTACAAGGAATTTAACATGGTGTGGCAGGCCCTGATACCACAGGACAATTTAAATAACACATTTTGCTAATATAAAAGGAGTAAATAAGTAAGTACAATATGTACAGTTATTTGTGGGCAGGAAAAGTAAATATATTATGACCAGGTGTTCTTTAAGTGGCCTCAGGGCTTAACCTCCTGAGAACAGAGCTTTTATTTTGGCGGGTGTTCCTGCTTTTTTTCCAGATTTCTGGAATCAGTAAGACCTAATAAGTGTAATAATTTGGTTATGAGGGTCCAAACGACTTATTTACACCATTTTAATTCCACAATAAGAGCAGGATTAGTGTAAAATGTCTGAAACCATTTTACTTTAGATTTGAATCAGTCGTGTCCAGAGATGTATAAAGTACTGGAGTAGAGGAGTGTAGAAGAGTAGAAGTACAAGTATTATATAAAAAAATTTACTTGAGTAAAAGTAGAAGTATTCTTTCAACACCATACTTAAGTGGAAGTACTGAAATACTCAAATTTTTTTGTACTTAAGTATTGCAAGTAGAAGTATTTCAAAAATTGCTACTCAAGTATCGAAAGTACAAGTAGAAGTAAAAGTACAATACTGTGTATATTAAAAAAAGGCAGTAAAAGATTTGATAGATATTGTTTATATTACGGTATTTCAAACGTGTGAAAGGCCATACAGATGTTTACAAAAAACAGAAAACTACATCTGCATTAGCAATCCACAGCACTTCATCTACTATTATTTATTATTCCAGAGTCAGAATCATGAGATGACCCTTTATGCTAGCATGTAGCATACAGCTAGCCAGCTAGGTTAGCTTTAGCATATGTTAGCTTCTACGTCCTGAGTGAACAGGGAGAACTGAACTAGCGCTTATTTACTAGCTTATATGTCTTTGTATTTTTTAATTTACCTTGATATGCTTCTTCAGATTAGATGGGGAATTTTTGAAGGCTATAATTAACAATCTGTCGGGAGGCATTTTTTTATAGGCTATGCTTGATGGCTCAAATCTCCCAATGAGGAGCCAGCTTCCCAAACCCTGACAGAGCTATCTATCATTACGTTTACATATCAGTAACGAGTAATGATTCAGCCCGTGAAAAATCGATCCGAGTAAAAGTATTAAATTAATCAAAAATATATAGTGGAGTAAAAGTAAAAGTAGGGGAAAAAAATATATACTCCAATAAAGTACAGATACTGCATTTTGGTACTTAAGTACAGTACTTAAGTAGTTCTACTTCGTTACTGAACATCTCTGGTCGTATCTGATAGCATCTGCTAGGAGGCCAAGAGGTCAAAGGTAAAAAAAAAAGAAGGATCCTGGTAGAGAGAAGCAGAAAGGCATCCTCATAGGATGTTAAGGAGAGGTTATGGAGGAGGTGGCCTGGTGGTTTTTGTTAGGGGTTCGGGGGGTGGAGGCCGGTGTGGCTGACCCCAGAGTTTGCCTTCAGGCTGACGGCGGGCGCGGAGAACCCGCTGTTCCACTACGTTCTGATGGAGAACGTGCAGGGCATCTTCATCGCGCCGACCCACGGAGAGGTGGCCCAGCTCAGCGGCTCCGTCCACCCACGGCTCATCAGGAACTTCCACCACTGCTGCCTCTCCATACGCCACGCCTTCCAGCAGAGCCTCCCCGCCAGGGTGAGCCCCCCCACACACATCCAAGTCGGCCATTTTGATTAGGTCACCAATAGGAAGATCCCAGGCAAGAAGATCCTAATTGCTTCATGGCAATATAGACATTAATGTAAAAATAGTGGAATGAATCTTGCAAACACTGAGTTAAACTCTATACATGATATTATGTTAAATAAGTTTGTACAATAAGTCCAAACAAGTTTAACCAAAAAAGATTTATTTCTCACAGTTATGAAGGATGGAGGGTTAGGGTTAGGGTCAGGATTAGAGTCAGAGTCAGAGTTAGGGTTAGGGTTAGCGTCAGGTTTAGGGTCAGGATCAGGGTTAGGGTTAGGGTCAGGTTTAGGGTCAGGGTCAGGGTTAGGGTTAGGGTTATGGTCAGGGTTAGGGTCAGGGTTAGGGTTAGAGTCAGAGTCAGGGTTAGGGTTAGCGTCAGGTTTAGGGTCAGGATCAGGGTTAGGGTTAGGGTCAGGTTTAGGGTCAGGGTCAGGGTTAGGGTTAGGGTTATGGTCAGGGTTAGGGTCAGGGTTAGGGTTAGGGTCAGGGTCAGGGTCAGGGTTAGGGTTAGGGTCAGGTTTAGGGTCAGGATCAGGGTTAGGGTTAGGGTCAGGTTTAGGGTCAGGATCAGGGTTAGGTTTAGGGTTCGGTTTATGTTCAGGTTTAGGGTCAGGGTTAGGATCAGGGTTAGGGTTAGGGTCAGGGTTAGGGTTAGGGTTAGGGTCAGGGTCAGGGTTAGGGTTAGGGTTAGGGTAATGGTTAAGTTTAGGGTCAGGGTTAGGGTCAGGGTTAGGGTTATGGTTAGGGTCAGGGTTAGGGTTAGTGTTTGGGTCATGGTTAGTGTTTGGGTCAGGGTTAGGTTTAGGTTTAGGGCCAGGATAAGGGGTTAGGGTCACAGTTAGGACATCGTTTTTCCTCCGATTTCGTATAGACAGTAAAGTTCCGTATCCACCTCAGAAAGCTGCTAGTCACACGACCTAATAAAAATGGCCGAGTTGGTTGTGGGAGGAGTCGGATATCCAGCCGAGGCTCCTACAGACTGCCCCCCCCCCCCTAACCCTAACCCTAACCCTAACCCTAAACCCTTTAGGGCCGGCGGGGGGCGGACCGGTCCCCGGGCGGGTGGGGCCTCGGCCCGGTGAAGGAGCACGGCGTGCTGTTTCAGTGTAAACCCGAGAACTGGACCGACCAGAAGAGGCCGCCGCCCACCATGACCTACTGGGTCATCGGGTAGGTCTGGGGAACAGGAACCCTGTTGGGTTCTGTTGGGTTCTGGGACCAGAGGGCTCAGGTTACTCTAAAGAACAGGAACTTGGGGGGTTCTGTTTGGTTCACAACCGGCTCTAAAAACAGCTTCCTGGGCAGGAAATACCCAACTGAAAATAACAGATAAAAATATATTAGTATATGATATGATATATCATATACTAATAATAAAAATTAAACCAGTCGGCTCCAAAAAGAGCTTCCTGTTGAGTTTGAATGCAGCTTCTTCTTTACAGCATATATATGATTATGTATTATAGGATATTGAATAATAATAGTTATAATAATGATGATAATAATATTAATAATGATAATAATAATAAATACTGAATAGAAACAGTCAAATTAAAATTTTTCAGCTGCTAAAAGTTTCATGTCTGCAGGGACAAAAGCAGTTCTTAAAAACTTGAAAAGGCTCTCAGATTAGTGAGACGGGGTCAGGCTGATTGGGGACGGGGTCAGGGGTCAGGGGTCAGAGGTCGGCCCTCCTGATTGGCCGTTTGCTTCCAGGCGGATGCTGCTGGAACCGGTTCCTCAGGAGTTCTACGTGTGTTTCCACGATTCGGTGGCTGAGGTCCCGGTGGAGATGGCCTTCAGACTCTCCTTCGGTCTGGCGCCGTGACCCTGGGGGGCGGAGCCTCCTGAGAGGGGGCGGAGCCTCCTGGGAGGGGGCGGAGCCTCCTGGGAGGGGGCGGGGCCTCCTGGAGGGAGGCAGCAGCCACCAGGTGCCTTTTCCTGCCTCATTTCCCTCCACGTGTGAGTTTTTTTCTACGAGTTTTTACCTCCCGTTTACAAAGCCCCGGACCCACGAACACGATGCTGCTGACGAATCCGCGAACTTGCTGTAATTTAAATTCTGTACAGTTTTATATACGATGGGACCCTTTTTTCCTACGTAACGAGCGTTATTGGGCATTAAAAGACGACGTTTTCTGAGCGTTTTGACGTGTTTATTTGCTTCTGCACATTATTCAGGAGAGCTGCTGCCTCCGACCTGTCCATAATTGCGAGGCGTTGCAGACATGGCGAGCAGCGGCGTCCGGCCTCAAGCCGGCATGGCGTCTGGCCTCGGGCCGTGCAATGGCGGCTTGAGGCCGGACGCCATGGCGTTGGGCATCAGGTCGCCATGGCGTCCAGCCTCAGGCCACCGCCATGGCGTCGGGTGGCGTCCAGCCTCAGGCTGCCACCGTGTACGGCCTCAAGCCGCCATTGCGTCCAGCCTCGAGCCGTGCCATAGCGGCTTGAGGCCAGACGCCATGGCATCGAACCTCAGGACGCCGCCATGGCGTTGGGCCTCAGGACGTCGCCATGGCGTTGGGCCTCAGGACGTCGCCATGGCGTTGGGCCTCAGGACGTCGCCATGGCGTTGGGCCTCAGGACGTCACCATGGCGTTGGGCCTCAGGACGCCGCCATGGCGTTGAACCTCAGGATGTCACCGTGGCGTCAGGCAATGTCCGACCTCAGGCCGCCGCCATGGCGTCCGGCCTCAGGCATCGGCGGC